ACTCGCATCAACTCGAGTTCAGTGAAATGTAAAGTTACGATAAACGCGCGCGCGCCGTTCGTAAGTTGTTGCAACTCGCATCAACTCGAGTTGAGTGAATTCAAAGTTACGTTACACGCGCGCGCGCTGTTCGTAAGGTGTTGCATCTTACTCGCATCAACTCGAATAGAACTCGGGTTTTAAATTCAGAATTGCGCAAATGAAAAACCGCTTTAAAAGTTTATTTTGTTTTTTGATTGACATTTTGTTATTTGTTTTTATTAGTTGGCCGTTGGCGATCCGCGTGCGAAATAATATTTTTGATTTGTTAGTGATCTGTTTTGTTTTGTTTGTAATTTTTTTGTCGTATTTTCTTAAACACGATGTTGAGATCTGCGCTGGAATAATATACACCTTTGTTGATTGATTTTCGAAATAAATTGCACACTAGTGCCAATTGATTGTAAATTTTGTCTTTGAAATCCCAACCGTCGGACACTGTTCGGGGTCGAGGTGTATAGAAAAAGGAGAGGATTAATTCAGACCACATACAAAGTTGCGAATCGACTCGAGTAGCCATATAACATCACGATTCAACATCATTATATACTTACTTGACTTGATATTGATACTTCCTATCTAATTAGCCTCGAGTCGAGCTGACTCGTGCTCTCCGAATTGGCCGAGTCGTCCCCCCCCCCCCCCCCCCCCCCCCCCACCTCACCCCTTTGTCCCTACCGGAGACTTCGATGCGAGTCAACTCGAGTTGCGATTCGAGTCAGTAGCCATATCAACTCGAGTAACGAGTCAAAAAAAATCCAACTCGTCACATCACTGGTTTAAAGTCAAGGACGACACCTAAGTATTTGACTTTATTTACCCATGGAACCGGACTATGCATGAGTTTAACGGGTGGCCACATTTTTAATATGAATTATGATACTTATTTATAATTCTGACTAGACATTTATTAAAGTATATGAAGGGGGGGGACGGCGCGTACGCAGTCCCCACTACCAAAAATTACGCGTCCGAGTTATCCACATTAGGGATAATCGCAGGGGTCAACCCAACCGCAGTGCAATGGGAGAGCCTCGCCCTGGGGGAACCGCCTTCTTGATCACGGTATCCCCTACGCCAGGTAAGTATGAATTCCGAACGGCGCGCGTCCAAAGTCATTCGCCCTGCGAAAATCTCAACATCGCGATTTACAACTTCATCGTACATTTATAGTGACATCTACCAAGGCTTGGCTTAAATCACGTTATGCATAAAGATGTCATGAAGAATAGAACGGGCGCAAAAGATACGCTTGGTTTTATAGAATGTTGTGCTACCATAACAGACATTCTATAAATCTCGCTTAAGCCACTACTTCAACAGATGCGTCTATTTATAGACAATGTCCGTGTTTAATATTAAAGGATAAGTAAACCGGCTGGCGTTTGATGACTTATTATGTCAAGAAAATTACCTTTTATAGGGCAATGAAGGGCATGAAAACATCTAATTAGCACTATTGTATCGTAAACAAGTGCAAAAATAGTGATTAGATATTTTTTTATATTATAAATTAAAAGTCAAAACATACATCTTTAATAATTTATAATGAAAATTATAATTCAGGGCTCAATTACTTTTTAAAGACACGTTCAACAATTTGCTTCACGCTTGAGTTTTTTTGCTCGCGAGTGTGCTTGAGAACAAATAAGCGAAAAATATTCTTTTATTTCACAAATTCTAAAGAGTTTCTAAAATGTTTGGCCTTTGATTATATACTTGAAAATTATTTATTTATTTATACCATATTGCAATTACGTTAATCAAGGATTAAAAAGGGCGAACTTAATTCCTTTAGGCATTCTCTCCCAATCAATCCGGGGCGTGGAGATAAATTGTGGTAGGTGCAATCAAAAGATCATTACTAATATGAATGAAATATACAATGTATGGAATATACACACGCTTAAAAAAACTTGACAACTACTACTTTGTGGGTCTTTGGATATATCACTTGTGTACAGCGAGACTCCTGTCACCGTGTTAGTGGAGTGATTACCCTACTACAGGATATCGAAAACAGTGTTGAGGGCAACTAGATTGTAGATGAAGCCGTTGAGCCAGACCTTGTCGAATACCTTTGCGATATCGAAGAAGAGCGCAGACGTCATTTGTTTTATTCGTTGAATTATAAATCGCCCTCCGGTATTTTAAATAAATTATATAAGTCAAATAAATATTCCATTTTGTGGATATGCTACTCTTGAAGTCTTATAGAGACCTAAGTATATTATAAATTGATGATAATTACTTGATCGTCTTATAAGAGTTTAGAGGGCGGGGGGACGGCGCGTACGCAGTCCCCACTACCAAAAATTACGCGTCCGAGTTATCCACATTAGGGATAATCGCAGGGGTCAACCCAACCGCAGTGCAATGGGAGAGCCTCGCCCTGGGGGAACCGCCTTCTTGATCACGGTATCCCCTACGCCAGGTAAGTATGAAATGCGGACGGCGCGCCGCAGACTTCATTCGCGCAGCGAAAATCTCAACATTGCGATTCATAACTCTCACGTAGTCCAAGAGCGACATCTTCCGAAGCTAGCTAACGTGGCTTAAACCACGTTATACAATAAAGATGTCACGATCAATAGAAGTGGAGAAAAAATAAAAATAATACGAAACGAAATATCAATTATTTTAAAAAAGCCTGATTGCTTAGACATTTCTGAAACCAAATAACAAAGAAGCAAAACGCAACGTAAGGAGCAATAAAGGAAAAAAAATACATGCAGCAAGGTCCATACAAAGACGATACATAAAGAAGGGTCAAATTCTACGTGCTCTAAATCCGTCGTAAAACATCGTCATTACTCATTGTAAAAGGCCGTCTTCAACTTTTACAGTAGGTAGACCAGGGTCGATAATTTTTGTAACCAAAACAATAACACTAGGATGAAACTCATTGGAAAAGGAGGTGAATAAGATAAAAATGAAAGGTAAAATAAATTACGGGCCATCTGAGTTCGGGAAGTGGGGTGAGGGGGGGGGGGGGTTTAAAGGTAAAAACGGTTTATCTCGATTTCCAGCAAAACAACAAGGCCTATAGAAAAAAGTTAAAAAGCAAAGTTGTAGGTAATAAAAAGATAAAAAGAGAACTTTTGTATTTATACTTTTTTACATAACCTAAACTTGTTTATTTGAATTTATGTGAAAAATTCAAATAACCAAGTTTTTGGTTTTTTTTATTTTTATCTTTTACAAAAATGTTTATTATCTACTAATTTGGTGAAAACTTTCCTTTTTATGTACCATATATACTGAGAAAAAAACTCACCCCCCCCCCCCCCCTCCACTTCCCGACCTCAGATCACCCGTAAATTATTTTTCCTTTCATTTTTGTTATATTCTCTTCCTTTTCCAATGCGTTTCACCCTACTATAATTTTTTTCACTTTTTACCATTTTAAAGGCTTCAGCCCTAATCTATAAGTTGAGATATAGACGGTTAGCTAACAGGAAGCTATCAGTATCAGACGTTTCGACCTTCATTTTAGTAGGCGCTGAATTTATTCCTGAAGAATATGTTGTTGCTTTTCTGATCAAAACATCCTGTCATTTATATGCTTCATAAGATGACAACTAATTTTCCATTCATAATAAGTCGAGTGAACATTCAATCACATTAATCGATCTTGTAAGTTTTGAATGAGAAACATTTAGTTTATGAAATTATCATTATTGGGATTTATATTACTCTGAAAACGACTCTTCATAAGTCACATTATTTAACTACGTGGGTCACACTGAAAGTTCTTACATCAAAAAACTGCTTAATGTAGAAAGTTGCCAATACTTTTATCATTGTTCGAAGTAGTCTCCGATCCTCTTTATACATCTTCGCATTCGATGGAACCACTGAGAAAAGCTGTGGACCACTAAGAGGTCTCTTCTACGGCATTTTTGAACGCACTATTTCCATCTTCAGGGCTCGTAAAGCGAATATCTCGAAGTTCATCTTTGATTCTTGGGAATAAATTAACGTAGCACTACGCCAGGTCAGGACTATATGGCGAATGGCTCATTATTTCGACACCTGCCATAGTCAACTATTCAATTGTTAGTTTCGCGGAGCCTTGTCGTGCTGGATCCTGCTTCGAGGACGCTGCTGTCGAACATTTTCTTAAACAACAGGCAAACAACAGTTAACATTGGTATGTTTAGTGTCATGTCTGTAGCTTTCTATATAGTGTATTATATTCTTTGGTGTGTAGTAACTAGCCTTCTTCTTTCTTAACTTCGTCTATCATTCGTCGCACAGAACTGATGTTATTTTCAGATGTCGCTCTTGAAGGATATACCTCACGCAGATCATCACTGAGACTTCTCAGCCCATGCTTAAATGTATTATACTAATTAAACAGTGACACAGGTTGACTCTTCATTATTATATGCCAATCAATAGAGCTCGATTATTACATAGCATTGTTATTGAGTAAGACCGCAACGAAAGTCGTAATAAATTATAGATCGCTTTTTTTTAATTTTTTTGAGGCTTCTGGAATTGCTGCCAATTCACAAAAACAAATGACGAATGAATGCAGTATTACCCATATAATTTGATATTAGGTTACCAAAAAGTCCTATATTCTTTAAAACAAGTTTGCATTGGTAATTTTTCTGATTGGGCAGTTCTAAAAACTTTCAGTGTCACTCTAGAAAAATTTGTTTTTAAACAATACAAATAACCAACAGCAGATTTAAATCCGTGATGCTTAATTGTTAAAGGACATTATTAACATCTTTTCTGATAACAGGCTTTGTTTAAGATACATCACTGATACTTTCTTTTTGTCATCTCTGAATTGTACAACGCAGTTAAATGCTCATACCGTTAGATGTCCCTTACGGGCAACGTGGTACTTTCTTGGATCGCGATGTTGGGATTTTCGCAGGGCGAATGACTTTGGACGCGCGCCGTTCGGAATTCATACTTACCTGGCGTAGGGGATACCGTGATCAAGAAGGCGGTTCCCCCAGGGCGAGGCTCTCCCATTGCACTGCGGTTGGGTTGACCCCTGCGATTATCCCTAATGTGGATAACTCGGACGCGTTATTTTTGGTAGTGGGGACTGCGTACGCGCCGTCCCCCCCTTTATGCCCATTTACTAAAATTAAGAACCGAATATACTCAACTCTTAAATGCGATATCCATTGAGAGCCAAAATTCCGATTCTTCAGCAGGTGTACATAAATGTTTTGCACTTGGCTTGGCTCATTACAATCAATTTTGTTGTGGGGTATCAATATTAGATTCTGTAATCACAGCCGCTGGCCCACCTTCACCTGCATCGTTAATGATGTGGCCACGTTCACATGTAAATTCTTTCAGCCACGCATACACTGAACTGAGATATGGGGCTGAGACATCACCAAAAATGCCAATTGGCATGTTGACTATGACTGTTGTTAAGTCCAAGTGGAAATCGTATATCATTACGTGTAGATGGTCATTGTTTTAAACATATATTATGTTTCAATAACAATGATGCACATATTTTTTAATAAACAAAAAAACAATCCTACTAGAGACGAACGTTCTTTTGACGAATCAAATTGTCTCTGGGATATGGTAACCCCAATAATAACAACCATCATCCATTTTAAAAAGGACCACATTTACCGTAGGGACGGTGCACCCCATGAGACAGGGTTCGGGTTAATGGGTTTGCTTTCCCAATGCCCTTATCTGTTCCCGCTAGACCATTAGGGCCATAGATGATATACTTATATAGAGACTAGGGCAATGTAAATGACTCGGTGTGTTCCATCCGTTTGCAAATAAATATTAAATGACCTTTTGTTTTTTTTCTTTCAGCTCTCGGAATAGAATTGAAGTAACGCCGATTTGGACACGTCGTGCAATCCATTATCTTAGCCAGATTCGTTTCCGTTCTTATCGTCTTTTTTTATTCTTATTCTTTAAGAACAAAATAAGAGACACTGTCGAAGCAATTCTGGCACACACCAAATATACTTTCTCCATTGCCACATATGACTTAAAAAAGTACTATGATAATATAATGACACAGATATGTCGGTTATTAGACAATAAACTGTGCACGTCAACAGATTGTTAGCCCGTTATTAGTCATAATCTCATTTTTTTTTAGCTGGATCAACCACTGTTGGCCTTGGGAGGCCTTTATAGATCCACTAGACTTACGGTGCGGTGGCGCTGAGGCTGCCTAGCCTGAACCTCGGGTTACTGGTGACTAAGCTGAAGGCCTCCCGAAGAAGCCGCGGCTCGGGCCGTCACGCTATTAAAGTCATCTCACATGTATCAATATTTACATCACATCTACATATACACGGATCGTCGATAGATGTCGCTGATAAACTTCACGAAATTTGTGGATCGCGATGTTGAGATTTTCGCAGGGCGAATGACTTTGGACGCGCGCCGTTCGGAATTCATACTTACCTGGCGTAGGGGATACCGTGATCAAGAAGGCGGTTCCCCCAGGGCGAGGCTCTCCCATTGCACTGCGGTTGGGTTGACCCCTGCGATTATCCCTAATGTGGATAACTCGGACGCGTTATTTTGGTAGTGGGGACTGCGTACGCGCCGTCCCCCCCCTTACACCCCCCTGTAATAAGTTAAAGGCATGGATATTAAGGATATGTCTCCGTTAACGATTATAGACATGTTTTGCACGGGACCAGCTTAAACACTTTTGTACTGTATTTATCGCTTTCAGATCTGCCCGAAGAGTTTCATTATGTATGAAACATTTTTAATATCGGATCCAAAGATCCAAAAAATTTAATATATATCCAAAAAATATGAATGATGTTTTTATTCGTTTGCTCTCTTTAATTTTCGGAATTAAAAAATCTCTAGATGCGAAGTCCTGGCTGTATGGCGGGCACGTCATCAATAACACATTTGAGTTCTTCGAATTCGCATACGCCATCTGACCTGAACGTCTTTCGTGAGATTTCACTAGCATTCTAGGCGAGCAATTGTTTAAACCTTGGTCTGTCGGGTAGCGCACTATGAAAAATGCGCTGTCTGTCAGTGAAAAACAGTCGCGCAATTTTGCGTCTTTCTTCGGAACAATATTTATAGTGAAAACCATAATCCATATGAATCAGACTTATTTTAAAGCTATATGGATGGCTTAACTTTACAATCATTATATTTTTGCCTTTGTAGAATGTTTGTATTGTTTACTAGAAGCAATTCTTACTATAAGCTATCAATAAATACGACATCCTAAAGAAAAATATCAATAAGTAATTCATGATAAACGTTTTAGTTTTTTTATTTCCATGTTATGAAAACAGAATACATGTTGTTTGGAATAAATATAAATGTGTATTTCTTTGATAAAACTTAAGAAATTTGAGTATAAATATCATAATTTATTGGTGCGTTAGTAGCGCAGATCTACGTTCCGACACAACAGTCTGAACACAGATCTACGTTCCGACACTGACTATATAGGATGTTTCAATTTTCAAGTAAGTTTCTTCCCTACTTCCAATAAAAAAAATTCAAAGCAAATTTTTAATTGTGCTATTCTCGGCACTTAAGACGAAACATTAAAATTTGTAGTAAAAAAGATTTTATTAATGACTCCTTGCCAAGGTATTGGCTTCGGCGTCGGGGGTCGTGGGTTCGATTCCCACTCGGGACAACTATTTGTGTGACCCACAGATAGTTGTTCGACTGGGTTCCGCGTGAAATTTATGTTTGTAAAACGTCCTTACAACACAGGATCAACTAAAAAAAATCTTTCATCATTCCAAGCATAGTTTGGTGTATTTATTCTTTCATCCTTTACAGCATATAAACAATATCTGGTGTCGGGACGTGACGACCCCATCACCCGCTGGTGGGATAACCTTGTGACAGAGATTATTCCACCAGTGCAGTCAGTCAACCCAACTAGTGGTAGTAACCATGCTGCGCACCTTCGGGTAGCAGCCGAATTGGGTCGGCACGCCCGCGGAAGAACCACTCTTTCACTAGAAACCGACGTCAAGTGGCAGCTATGCTGTCGCGTTTCGTTTGGTCTGTGAGAGTCCCGAACGCCCTCTCCCCATTCCTCCCCGATAATGTCTGCGCGAAATTTAAATTTTCTACCCCAGGTGGGTACCACCAGCATACAGCGCGGTGGAGAATCCCTCTCTGGACGTCCACGCGCAGGCCGTACAACGTCTCAGCGTGAACGCCCAGGCTGCCCTTCGTATTCTGGGGGGTGAGGGCAATTTTGCGCTCTCTACACCTGCTCGGGGCAAACGGAGCAGGCAACATAAGGTCACCCCTTCCTCGCATGCCGTGGACTTTTGCAACATAAGGGGGCTAAATTCCAACTTAAACGCCGTCCACTTCCATCTTGAGACGGCGAAGCCGGCCTTGTTCTTCCTTACCGTGACACAAATATCTTCTCCAGCTGACACCTCATTCCCCTCCTACCCGGTGTACAAACTGGAACATTCCTTTCTGCCGCGGGCTGGGGTGTGCGTGTACGTTATATGAGAGAGGTTATATGCTCTCGTCGCCTCGACACTCTTTGCGTCCTATCCATGGGGTCAGATTTGCTTCTCGCCGGATGATCCAGACGTCGTTGCTGACTCAGTGACTGATGTGGTGCTTCAAGGTATGGAACTCTTTATTCCGTTCTCTGCAGTGCCCATTGGTGGCAAGTCGCAGCCTTGGTCTGGTCGCTTCTGTAAGTTGGCATTACGCCGAAAGCGGGAATGCTACCAGGCTTGGGCTGACGCTTTGACGTCAAGTGATGTAAAAACCAGCGCTTTAAAAAAGAAGTATAACTCTGCCTCAAGGTCCTTCAAAAGTGTTATTGCTAAGGCGAAATCGGAACACATTGGCAGAATTGGCGAGAGATTGGCGCGTCTCCCAACGGGAACACGTGCGTTTTGGTCTCTCGCCAAAGCTGACTTGGGAAATTTCTGTAAGCCTTCTTTTCCACCCCTGCACACGGAGGATGACTCGCTAGCCCATGCCACGAAGGAGAAAGCCGATCTTCTGGGCTCTCTCTTCGCGTCCAACTCGACTTTGGATGACCGAGGAAAATTACCACCAACAATCTCGCGTTGCGATGCTACGATGCCGGAGGTTCAATTTCGGTAAAGTGCAGTTCGCAGAGCACTCTTTTCCTTGGACATTCATAAGTCGAGTGGGCCCGATGGCATCCCTCCGATCGTGTTGAAGACATGTGCTCCAGAGTTGGCACCGGTTTTGACGCGCCTTTTATGGCTCTCCTATACTCTAGGCGTATTCCCGAAATCCTTTAGTGCACCCGATCCCTAAGAAAGGCAACAGCTCGGATCCGTCCAACTACAGGCCTATAATAATAATAAGAATGGAGACCATCATTAACTGCCAGCTCCTGCGGTACCTAGAGGAGCACCAGCTGATTAGCGACCGCCAATACGGGTTTCGTCGAGGTCACTCAGCCGGTGATCTTCTAGTTTACCTGACACACAGATGGGCAGAAGCAGTTGAGAGCAAGGGGGAGGCGCTTTGATGGACGCTCCATGGAGTGACTAGGCTCAAGGGCCCCCGAGAGGAGATCTCAGCTTAGGCTGTTACTCAATTCCCGTTTAGCATTCCGATCTCAATCGGTAGCTATTATCTGACTGGAAGAATTTCTAAGTCTAACATTACTACGACTTCGGAAACCGTTGGCGCTGGGAGAAGAAGTGGTGGAAGAAACTCCAGCGACGCTTCTACCATTAACGGGGGAAAACCATGGTGTGATCTGGTATGTTTGCGTAATTGTTTTATCCTATCGATGGCAATAGTCGTCTCATCGTCAGGGAAATCGAGGATGTGTCGTGGTCTGCGCCATTTGCGACGGAACGTACCTAGCGGTAAGAGTCTGTAGGTGACGGCACCTGTGACTTACGGATTGGCCCCGAAAATGGCTAGCGCTGTTCCTTTTATAGACCGTTGCAATGTGCTACTACCCTTCTATCTTCCAATAATATATTTTTGTTCATTTTCATTAAAATAGGTAAATTAACACTAAGTGGATAAAATGTACTCTACCTTATCTTTAAATTTTATAGCGATGAAGTAATTTCAAATCAATTAAAAAAAATGTAATGTTCAAGCAGACAACAAAAAAAATTACTTTTATGAACATCCTATATTTCCGAGTCTTTATACATTACAATTTGACACAAACGAAATTTCTGTTAGATGGAAAGGTTTTTTTAAAATTTACATTTTATTTATAATATCTGTATAGAATCAAAATGATGTGTAAGATAATTAGAATGTGTAATTCAAACTACGAAATATCAGTAGTCGAAAATGAAACAGAGATGACGAACGGATATATATATTTTATGTTCTTCGTTTATCGTTAAATTCTTAGTAATATTGCATTTTTCGATACGTTGTCATTGTTTTATGTACTAAATAATAAGAAAAGAAAAAATACTTACCGTTTTCCATATTTGTTTCACAAAAAACAGTAATTGAAATATTTAATGAAAACATGGAGATATTCGAAATAGTTGTAAAAGAATAAATAGGTTTTTACCAGTAATAATTCTTTTAGCTATCAAAGTACGGTTCATTTATTCCTTCGCTAATTTCTCGATCGAGTTTCACGGGAAAATTAACTCTAATTAATAATACTCTAATTAATTAATCTAGTCAGCAAATAGCTCACTATTAATCACAAACGATCTGGCGTAGATCTACGTTCCGACAGTCAACGGAAGCACAATTTGGCGCGCAGATCTACGTTCCGACAAACCAAAGGTTAGTATCAATATAAAGTCACAATCCTTTACTTTCGAAGTAAGCGACAATGTAGTGTAATCTCCTGAAGTGCGGACAAAGAGCCAAACATTTTCTTCACGGGGCTCAGACTTTTCTTAACCATCGTCGAAAATTCTTCGAAAACTTATTCCGTTGACTGGCGATTTTTTCCCTTTCAACGCAGTGTACTCCGTCTTCGTCAGCTGTCACGATATTATTTTTGATTGTGATAGTCAGCCAAGGTCTGTTCTTCATTACACTTTACACTATACGCAGTGCATTCTTGTCTTCCGTTAAAGCATGCGGTGTCCATATTTGAATAGTAACACTAAATTTTCTAAAAGAAGCCACAATGAAAAATAAATGACTTTCATAAATTAAAAAATAACAACACAGAGAGTTTCTTTTAACTGGCCACTTAAATCTTATTTATTCATGGGGCATCTACCGTCCACTCATTAATAATCGGATACATTTTTAGACGCTGACCGACAACAAAATTGTTTTGGTTTAATGATTACATAGTCTTTTTTTATCAATTAATCATTGTATAATACGTTACTAGGTTACATAGTCTTTATATAGTAATATAGTAGAAAACAAGATTGTTTTCTCTATTCTGTGGTACAATTCGCGTCACAATAAAACTGTCTGTTTATATTCGCTGATTTGAAACAAATACGTTCAACTTATGTATTGATGGAGCCCTAAAACTAAAATTGGATTGGATTGGAACAA